CAAATAGGATACCCAGTATCTCGCAGTTAACCTCGTAGCAACCTAGAATGGGATTTTTCCGCTAAAAAGCACAGACGCTTATCAGGACAAAAGGTGTTTCTAAACTTAATTTCTTCTGTTTTAACCGCTGCAAAAGCGTAAATACGTCTTTATTAGGTTATCCTTGTGTTTTCTGTCTTCTTAATGTTGGCGATGGATAGCCTACTAGCCTGAGTCCAGAGAAGAAAAGGTAATAAATTCACTGAAATTCTTTTGCTCATTTTGATAATTAATTAACGCTGGACATTAGATCTAAAGCGGCGACTATTGACGACTATTCGTCACTATTCGCCACTTTCCGCGACTGTTCGCCACTATTCGCGCTATTCGAGACTATTCGCACTATTCGGCACTATTCGCTATTCGCTATTCGCGACTATTCGCTATTCGCTATTCGGGTTTTCCAGACACCCTCTCAGAGGTCATGGGTTCGAATCCCGTTCAGGCCAGAATTTTTTTCAGGCCTTAATTTCACAACTGCTTAAGTTGTGTGCATAACTGCGATGATGAGTCTTCCGTATCTTTCTCCGCAGTTCAAATATATGGTCTCTGATATATTCACTTGTATTCTTTACTATCTACGGGTATATTACGAACTCACAATGTGACCAGCTTCTGGTAGAGCAATGCACTGGTATCGCAGAGGTCATGTGTTCGAATCCCGCTCAGGCCTGATGTTTTTTTCAGGCTTTAATTTTACAACTGCTTAAGTTGTGTGCATAGCTGCGATGATCAGTCTTCATATATATAATAATAATATTTTTATGTGTACAGTAATCAGAACTGTTTAAATTACAAGATTAAGTCTTCTGTTTGTACTCTCTCTTCTTTTTGTCACTTCCCCGAAAATTGTCTTTTTCTGAGGGGAAGGGGAGAGCACAAGTTGACAAACTGACAACTGTACTACACCCTCCCTTGGGTAAAATTGGGTTGACAAGCCTACACGACTCCCACGGTTCGTGACATTTGTACATTTGCCGTTCTCTGTTCGCTCTCTCGACCTTTTTTTACTTCACTCTTGACTCGACTCGTGTTTATAAAGGGCACTTTATCTTGTGTAATAAGATGGAATTTTAAACAGAGCTGAGCCACTAGACCATGTTATGGCAACTTTTTAGAGTTCATAAGTCTGCACGGTTTCCGCTGTTATCTGCATGTCGCTTCGCGGAGTTTGATACCTCTGTAATTTGCCATGTGTTTATGCATTGTTTTTAAGTCTCCAAGTATTTGCTTTTGTGGAACAAAATATGAAATTTGTAAAATTGGGTTGACAAGCCTACACAACTCCTACGGTTCGTGACATTTGTGCATTTGCTGTTCTCTGTTCGCTCTCTCGACCTTTTTTTTTGTGCTTTACTTCTGACTCGAGTTTATGAAGGGCACTTTATGTTGTGTTGTAAGGGGGAATTTTAAGTAGAGTTGAGCCGTTAGACCATGCTATGGCAAACTTTTTAGAAGCAATTTTTCTGGGAGGTAACGGGGAGAGGAGTAACCTCCCCCCCCCCCCAAAAAAATCAATACGTAGAAAAATGAGGGGGTCTTTGTTTTCAAGTTTTGGAGTCTTAGGGTGTCTTTGTTTTCAAGACACCCCCCACTGTGTCTTCATTTTGGAAAAGCTGTTGCATTAACCCCGTAGACTCCTCCACATTTAGTGGCTGGATAAAATCCTGGACACGGAGGTTCCGTAACGGACCAACATCCTGTGCACACAACTTCTTACAGAAAGCGCTCAGGCATCAACGTCAACACTTTGGAGTCGCTTATTCTGGACGCGCCACGCGTAGGCGAATATGGTAGGAAGCAGATTAAAAAAAAAAAACATTCGTGCAAAGGGTTGCGGTTGAAAAAAAAAAAAAAAANTGTTTTTCCCCGTCTGTGAATTTTCTTTTCTCGTGGTGTTTTTCTTAGTAGCCGTAAGCCGTGATTTGAACCACTTCGTTCACATCCTCCTCATCCTCTCCCTTCCCCACACCACACCCTTCCTCACCTGGTTATGATTGGCTCATTTGACAAGCCAAAGTACTTGAGAAATTTAGGGAGTTGTCTCTCGAAAGCGAAAGTGCTTCAATACAGCGGCATTGAAAGTAATCGGTTCTTTTCTGTTATTGCAGTCCAAGGTACGAAATGTTTAATATAGAGATGCTCAATTAACGTGAATTATATTCAGCCAGCTTTTAGTTTAAGCTTGTTTGCGTCTGGTGCGCGAAATGAGCAATGTATGCTGAATTCCTGTAGTGAGATCAAGTTCGTCTTGAGTTCCTTGAAACAGAAACTTTGAATTGAAGTCTCTCACCTTATTTATGACATAAAGCCAGTGAAACTGCGAGCGGTACTTGTAAAGCACAAGTGAAAGTTAGATTAAGTTAAGGGTAGCTTGTTAAAGTTGAAGCCGTCAAGAGTTTTGAACGGAGTTGGACGAAGGCAGATCGATCGAGCGATCCATGGAACAGTCTGACGATAAGCTAAGGCGTTTGTTTTGAAAATGTCATCTAAATTTAATCTTTGTATTTAATAACAGCTTCTTGCAGGCTGTGTTAACAATAATACTGACATTCTTACTAATTTTATATTGTTTAGCCAAAATATGACAGCTACTAAACTCAAATTGCTTAGTCTAATTGTTGTGTGATTCCTATCAGATTGCTCCCGTATCTAAAATAACTAGAGGCTTCCTGAATAGATTGTAATTTTTGTTTTCATGTGTTTTCAGATACTTGTGAACCATTCAAACGTTAACAGTTGTAAGTATCACTGTAAAAATTGAAGATGGGGAACATTTCTGCCGAGAAGCTCAGGGAGCTGATTTTTACAAATGTTTACAGAGAAAGGGCCTTGCATCTGAGTGGTAACGGGTTGTCAAAAGTTCCTGAAGCTGTTTTTGAGCTGACTGAATTGGAGGAACTTAACTTGTCAGGTAATTGTCTGAAAGAATTACCAACAAGTATTAACAGGCTGAAAAATCTGAAAGGGCTGAGATTAGACCGGAACCAGTTGAGAGAACTACCTCACAGTATTTGTGAGTTGAGCAACCTGACCAGGCTTACTGTGAGTAACAACCAGTTGTCTGTTCTACCTCCAAACATTAAACATCTCAAGAATCTCTGGGTATTGGACTTGAGTGATAACCAGTTGACTACATTGCCTGATGAGATTGGTGAACTGAAGGAGCTGGCATGGCTGTATGTGAGTAGCAACAAGCTGACAGTTTTATCATCACACATAAAGCATCTCAATAAACTCTGGGAACTGGATTTGAGTGGTAACCAGTTGACTACATTGCCTGATGAGATTGGTGAACTGAAGAAGCTGAGATGGCTGTATGTGACTGATAATCCTCTAACATTGGAAGGAATGAGAAAGGTTGTGAAGCTTCAGAACAATAAGATGATGTTTTCCAAAGATGTTACGGGTAAAGATGTGAAATGCTCATTATTTGTATTTTATTTTATGTCTTGTGAATGAAATAAATATTGGAACATGTAGTTTAACTTAGAAATTAGAAAATTACAAATGTACTGCTGACCTTTTAGTGTATATTTTAGAAGAAGTATATTTAATATATATATGAAGCTTATTTAGATTGTTATTGTGGAAAGTTTAACTTAAACTGCATGAAAAAGGCATCCTTGTTACTGTTCATGAGTAGCAGAACATTTTTAAAAATTGTCAAGGAGTAGTATACGTATTTCGAAGTTTTGTTTGACACTGACTCTATTTAAACGTTAAAACAACGTTTATAGCTACTTACACAAAGATGTTTCGACCGTTTGTCAATTAAGGAGTATAGTGAATGAAATAAATATTGGAACGTGTAGTTTAACTTAGAAAATAATTACGAACGTGCTGCTGGCCATTTAGTGTATCTGTTAGCCTGAGAAGAATTATATTAAATGAATGTAGCATATTTAAGATTGTTATTGTTGAAAGTTTAATTTTAATTGCATGATTTATATAGGCATCCTTGTTTCTGTTCGTGAGTTTTAAAACAATTTTAAAATATTTTCAAGGAGTATAAAAAATTCTTGATGTTGTGGAAATTAAATTATGTAAATGTGCTACGAAAATACTTCTTTCTCGATGCTTGGTTACCAATATTTGTTTCAAGGGTTTTGAGTGAAACTTAAGGCCAACCCTAACCAAAAAAGCATCTAACTTATATTTAATGTTTTCACTATGAACTGTACAGAGTGTAGAAAAATTCAAATTGGCAGAAAATGGAAATCACCTTTTACTGTATAAATTTTATAGTTTCTCTAAGTTTTTAAAATTTGAACTTTCAACTTGGGAATGCAGCTCATTCGACCTTCATGAGTGCAAATTTTACACAATTAATGTTTACATGACATATACAAATGGTTTAAAAATATCTTTATAAGATGTGAAATTCCCTTCCTCTTCATTGACACATTTAAGAATTTTTACCATATTCATGTTATACTTACATATTTTATCTTACATGTATAAAGCTTTATATAAGAATTAGAAACTACACTTGACAGCGATTAGCATTGTTAAAACCTCATGAGCTATAAGTTAATTGTAATTCTCATTAATTGACGAGAATAATTCCTTCTTACATGTTTATATTAGAACATGTATTTGGACGAGAAGCAGAAGGACAAAGAGCACAACTGGCTTATGAAAAGGCTCTAAGAGACGGCTTTGTAAATGTTTACCGTGGTCGCATGTTACTAATTGGTCAGGACCGTGCTGGTAAAACCAGTCTAAAGAAGAGTCTCTTAGGCCTGCCATTTGACCCTAAAGAACAGAGTACTGAGGGAATTGAAGTACAAGCTTCAACATGTAAAATTGAAGTTGAGCAAGTTAAGAACTGGCATTCCACCCATGAGAACAAACCAGGATTGGTAATTAGTCCTAAAGAGATATCAAGGGTGGTGGCGGAGAAACTTTGTGACATAACAATGGAATTAGAAAAGGGACATTCTACAACAGCAACAGAAGTAGCTGTAATGACAGAAGAAGAACATTTTAAAGAAGAAGAGGGAGGATTGTCTGAAGAAATTTCTTTTGGGAATTTTGACAGAAAAGTGATGGACTTGGAATTTGGAGCTGACAGAAATGATCCCAACAAGCATAAGGTTTGAATAAAGTTAATTGTTTAGAGGTACAATGTATATTTAATGCAGACATCTCAAATGTAGCAGAAATAGGTTAACTGTCACCAGAGAATTTGAGAACAAAAGCACTTCCTGTTTTGTTAGTCTTAAGTTTGCAACATGTAACAAACAACCTGAGTTGATGTGCAGTACCGCCTGAAAGTATGGACCCATCAGGTTGCGGCAAAACCTCGTCTTTGCCGCATGCTCCCACCTCACGTCCACCACAGGTGAAAATATGTAGCACCGCGGTAAAGACGAGTGCTACCGCAATGGAATAAATAGTGCGGCAAAACAGATGAGGTAATACCTCAGGAAAGTAACATATGTGTATCGAGTAGAGTGGCATTTTTCATCAACGTTGCATGTAAACTCCATCATAATTTGGAATCAAGAAACACACTTGGTGCAAAGTCGAACATTTTACATGTAAATGCCTATCCTCTACTTTTGAAATCTACATGTGCTGACTTTTGGTAGGCCCTCTTATGAACTCTGACTACACTATTCGTAGCCATTTAATTAAGGGTTCCCAGGGTTTTGAAGGTCACTTGATTAGAATGGCAACAGGATGGAGCGGTCTACTACTGCCATAATCAACAACGTGTTGATACAGCGCCATTAAAGTACATCTGTTGATCCATAATTACGGCAACACGCGCTAAACGTTACCAGTTTCAGGTAAAAATGTAACTGTTTGTCATCTAGTTCATTTTTTCTTTAATTTTAAAATCGATGCATTGAAACTAGTAATGCAACTTCATGATTTTGTATTGGAAACAACAGAGTGTGTAGCATCTTTTGATTTCCACGAAAGGTCACTTGAAATGTAAAAAAATCTTCTTGCCTAAACTGGTGAAAGGTTTCGATTCTCCTTTTGATCAAGTGTATAAAGGCGAATGATATAAATACCCATAGGAATCTTGGCTTACAGGAAGATTACATGTATTGAAGGCCATCATGAGGAATAAAGAGCAGTCGCCACTCTAAGAACAAGAAGATCTTTAAGATCTTACAACCACGCTTTTAAAACTTAACTGTTTTGGTAGCACTATACAGTCTCACTGCAATGCACATTCCAAAGCAGTCCTTGAAGATTCATTGATTACTGCAGACACCACATCAGTTGATCAACACAACCTGTATTATTGCACCATCAGTCGTAGGCGTTGTGAAATTGCCGATGATGTAATTACTTCCAGCACATGTCATAATATGGGATCAGGAGTGACCCGAAGGAAAAAAAAACGGAAAAAAAAA